GGGGCAGGTATGGGTAGGGTACGGTATTAGGCTAAACCCGATCCTCCCTGACCTGCATGCTGCATATTGTTGGAAAGCATATAAACTTTATATACCAAGTGTCGAATTTAATAATATTTTTGAGTTTTACGAAAATTTTATTGTTTATTTATTTTATTTTACTTATTTATTGCTTATATATGACAAGAAATAGTAAGAAATTAGATACGATTTCTAAATCCAACCCGCCCTACCCTTAAATGCGGAGAGGGTTTTATGTTTTCGTGTATGGATAGAATTTGAATTCTCAAAATCCAACCTGCCACGGATTTTGAGGCTGATACTGGTTGGAAAGTTTAGGTAGGCGAATAGGGTATAGAATTTATAAAACGCTCCCCGTTGTCAGCCCTACCTAAAGGCCATATTCAATCGTTTATACCCTTACTAGAGATCACCTGGTTGAAATACTGAAACCTGAAACAATTTTGCGTATTTTGTCTGTGGATGATTTGAAGTTTGAAACATGGTTTTCATGTTATGTTTTATTAGATGCCAGCATTGAATTATCTTACAAATTTCTTTGCAACTCCTTTTTCCTTTTCTTCATCAATATTATTTTTAATGAATGTCTAGCTAGTTGCCATGTGGTGAAACTATTAATTTTCAGCATTAATTAATGAAGAAAACTTTTAAAATTAAGATAAAAGTTCCCATGTTTTGACACATCACAGCTGATGTGGTAACCCTAAAGGCATCATATAGTTTGTTAACCTCTCAATGTTTCATTAATATTACAAAATTTAACCATTTTCACCAGTCACAATAATAGAATGGATGGATGATTTCCACTTTTCCAGCATCATTTATTACCAAAAGATGTGGCAAAAAAAATCTTCCCTTCTTTTTTTTTTTCCCTTGGACATGCAGTTTTTTTAGCCAATAGCCATGTGCCGCATAGTAAATAAAAAAAGCAACCATATTTGGCGATTTGTTTCATGAAAAAATCTTTCAAAAAATAAAGGGGACCAGGGTTGATGTAAACAGTTTTGATCTGCCCTTGTCACCAACTCAGTGAGTCAGCATTGGAAATTTGGGAGTAAAACAAAATATTCACTTTACCCCTGCATACATTAATTTTGCCAAGGTAATTGATGGTTTCCTACTATACGTGTTGTGTAATATTTTTTTAAGCTTCTTTATTCTGTCTTGCATTTTGCTTCACACGGTTTGAACTTGGAACTTGGAATTGCTAGTCTGTAGTCCGTACTATATCAGTCCACCGCCCAGGACGCAGATTGCAGAGTGATACATTACAGAATACACCTGAAGAGAAGACTGAAGAGAGCGCCACCCTCGCTTTCTTCACTTACACAAAATAGAAAATAGTGTGAGACTTATAAAGCAAAAAAAGTAAATAAAGAAGCTTAAATTTGAGTACACATTTCGGTATTTCCACTAAAACACCCTATTAATAATTAATTAAACTATTTTTTTTATCACGACAACACTCGCTGTTTGTTTCTCGCACCCCATCTTTCCTCTATTGTGTTCCGTCTCTCTATTACACGCTCCCGTATCTGAAGGGAAATATTAAAATAAAAAAGAAAATCGAAAAATCAAGATGACAATTTGACAAGAAAAAGAAAAGGTGGGCCGTGGAAGCAAGTAGTATAAGAGCATCGACGCCCAATTAGAGCACCCTCTCTTTCTCTCTCTTTCCATCTCTCCTAAAGGGAGAAAAATCCCAGCTCAGCCCCACCTTCGCCAATGGAGCCACCACTTCCGCCACCTCCCTCCGCCGTCGCCAACACCCATATCGGCTACGCCGACTCCATCGACTCTTCTCCCCGCTCCCGCAACGCAGATTCCTGGGATGAGCCATTACCACCGGTTCCCGGCGCTAAACTGCGCCTGATGTGCAGCTACGGTGGTCACATCGTTCCTCGCCCTCACGACAAGTCTCTCTGCTACCTTGGCGGAGACACCCGCATCGTCGTCGTTGACCGTCTCTCTTCTCTGGCGGACCTCTCTGCTCGTCTCTCCCGCAGCCTTCTCCACGGTCGCTCCTTCACCCTCAAGTACCAGCTCCCCAACGAGGACCTTGACTCCCTCATCTCCGTCACCACCGATGAGGATCTCGAAAACATGATCGAAGAGTACGATCGCACCTCAGCTTCCTCTTTGAAGCCCTCTCGCCTGCGGTTGTTTCTATTCCCTTCGAAGCCTGAATCGGCCTCATCGATGGGGTCACTTCTCGATGACTCAAAGTCTGAGAACTGGTTCGTGGACGCTCTCAACGGTGCCGGGGTTCTGCCAAGAGGTCTTTCGGCCGATTCCGCTTCGGTTAATTGTTTATTGGGCCTTGACGATGGTCCTATCGACTCTTCTGTTGATACCGAGGCTCAACCAGAAAACTTAGGTAATAATAAGCAAGTTAAACCAGGGCAAGATGTTCAGTCGGTGCCCGACTCGCCGATGCTAGAGACGAATTCCTCTTTTGGGTCGGCGTCTTCTTCGCCTTCTCTATCAAATTTGCCTCCAATTCGGGTTCATGTAGAGGATGGTGGGCCTCGGTCCCAGGATCACAAGGTTGGATTAGAAGAACATTTCTCACATATGACTGTAGCTGCGCAGAAACAAGAGGAGGGTTTTTCTGCTTTGTCTTCCCCGCCTCCTCTTCCGACCACTATTACCGCCGCAACGATGCCATCAGCAGTCGCCAATAATTCTACATCTGCTGCTGCAGCTAGCGAAAACCAGAATCGGGTTTTCTCCGACGATGAGAGATCCGACCATGGAGCTCCCGTTGGATTCCGGAGACCGCCGCAGCCGCCGGCACCGACGCAGTTGAGCCAAAAGACTAGTGGTGGCGTTGATTTACCTTCGCCGGATTCACTTGCGAGGTATACCTTAAATTACTCTGTGTTTGTTCTTCCTGTTTTCCATTTCCGGTACATTGATCAGTACTTTAGGTAGGAACAAGTTCTGAGTTTCGAAATGGGCTTAAATTTTATTATAATCCTTGCAGAGACAATAGCATGGCAAATGCGATGTCTCGCCCAAAACCTGTGTTATATCAAGAGCAAGTTGTACAAGTTGCACAAAACAGAGTTTCTTCCAACCCTGTTGATCCAAAGAGCAACATATCTGATCCGAGCTATCGAATCCAAATGCAACAAGTTCAGGATTCCGGGCATGTATTGACTCCACAATTGGATCAACATCAACAACATCAGCAGCAACAACAGCAATTCATTCATGCCGGCACCCATTACATCCACCAGCAGCCGTTGCCCATCTCGTCTTTCTACCCAATGTATCCTCCGCCACAGCCACAACAGCATCACCAGCAGCTCGATCAGCATTACCCAATGTACTTCTTGCCCGTAAGGCAGAACCAACCTTACAACCTGCCTGTGCACACTAATTTGGGCGAGAATTCCACCATCGCATCTAGTCGCCCACCTACACCTCCAGTTCCCGCTATGATTCACACTCCTGCAGCTTATAAAGAGTCAGCTGCACCTGTGTATCCCGCTAGGACTGCTCCTCCCTCTAAACCCGATTTGGCCCCAAATATGTACAGAACAGCCGCTACACCCGCCCCACCACCTCTCCTTCACATGTCTTCTGATCAACATCAACCACAATTTATGGGTTACCATCAAATGCATCACCCCTCTCAGTCCATCGCCGTCGCCGCTGCCGGCACCGGTAATTACACATACGAATTTGCAGATCCTACACATGCCCAAATATACTACGCTCAGCCTACAGGTTCCACATTGCCTCCTCAATACCAAACCATGACTTCGGCTGTAGTGGTTTCGGAGTCCTCGGCACAGTTGCCAACGGACAGCTCTAAACAGCAGATAAGGACCTCACAACCACTATAAGATGATGTTCTGAAGGGGATAGGAGATTAAAAAATCAATTTTGGTGGTGGGTTTGGTAAATCTTAGGTTGTATGTTCTTTGCAAGTTGTTTGGTCATTGGTATTGTTTGTGTTGTCTCTCTGTTATAGAAAATAAGGATCTGGGTCTTTTTTCTTCTTCTTCTGTGTTATATTGTTGATGTTCTTAAGGGAAATGAAGGTGGTCTGAGTCTCTGAGATCATCATATTCATATAGTAAAAAAGCAAGCTCTACTCAAAATGTTGTGTTTTGGTCAGTCTTTTGTATTAGTTATTGAAATAAATATAATACATAAAGCTTTGAATTGCAGGTCTCTTCCATGGCAGAACCTCCATTTCCTGCATAACATCTGGCGCGTTTTTGCTTTCCTTAACATTACATTTTCTGGGTCTCTAATGGTCTTTGTCACCTATTTTATGAAGATGACGATGATTGTGGTTTTGATCTAGATGCAGGGTGGAACAATTCTGCTTATGAAAACAGAATTTGTTCATCTAGAGCCAGTCACCAGGGTTTCCCTGTAATGCTGACTTGCTGAGGGCCTGGGACCAGCAATTCAGCCTTCCACATCGGCTTGCTTGTACTCTTCTTTCTACAGTAGAGAGTAATAACCGTCTATTAGCGTCAGCCGTCAGGTTGGCTGACAGTTAGATGGCGCCGCAATGCTTAAAATGAAATTACCAAGACACACCCTTCTATGGTATCCGATACCGGAGAACAACTCCATGAACGAAGATGGACGTCTCTGATAAATACGATATTTAATTGAACGGTCTTAAAAATTAGGCAGACGAATAAAAAAATAAAAAAGGGAGAATCAGAACAGCACCAAAAGAAAATAGGGCTGGCGGGATTTCAATAGTATTGACCAGGTCAAACGTTATACGAAACTGGTCCCACTAGGTTTGAAGTTTGAACAAAACGAGGTGGGGAAGAGAGTCGGACTATGGCCCCATGGGGTTGCAGCGCTGGGTCCCACAGAAGAGTGCAAGGACACCCCTGCAAAGGTGCACGTGTGTGCCCTCTCAGCTTCATGTGGTAAGGGGCGAGCTTCGTTTCATTAGCTGTTTATAAATTAATAAAGTAATTAAAAGGGGAGGGAGGGGGGAGTGTGGCCTGTTGGATGGGTGTACGGGATTCTGGTGGTCCTCAAGATCGGAGAGTTGATGGGGGGAGCCACTGTTCACTAGTTAGGGTGATTAGGAAATGGGATTCGGATTATTCATCCACACCGTTTGTCATTGTCAGCACCATGTTGTCTGATATGTACTTCATCCTGCGTGCAAAAGCTGCTATCCTCCACGCGACATTAGAAATAGATGAAGAGAGAGTACAGTTACACCACGCCACCACCTGTTTTCAGACGCCAGTTGGCACCCCCCCTATTTCTTCCATTTCTTTTTCTTTTTTCTTATTTTATTTTTAATGAGGAGCCCGATAGGCTTAATCCCAACTACCAAATTAACCGTCTGATTGGCATCAACCAATTCATTACCCATTTCAAGGGTTGGGTTTCAGTTTCACATGGGAAAGAGTATCTTGAGAATATATATATATATATATATATATTTTTTATAGAAAAAAGCATTACAAAACACGTGTGTATATACAAAAGTACCCTCGGATGTGCTAGCTGTTTCTTACGTTGCAGTTGGATCAGCCAAAGTTGTTTTGTATAAGGTTTAAGGCTGTCGCTACAGTCGATAGAATCTCATTAAAGCCTGACATAGGTAACCACCTAAAGATTGTAACCTGAGGCCCGCTAACTTGCCACGTGTCACATAGAATATTAGAACCCACCATTGAGTCCATACCATTCTAAAGAAAGTTCATACATGAAGAATCAACAATTCAACATTACCTTTAACGGCTATGCGATCTCATATTTAATTTTTGACTTGGTTTATCTAATTATCTCCATCCTAACCCCTTTTTTCCTTAGATAAACACCACAAGTAATTTTTCTTTTTAATTAACTGCCCCGAATCCTGATCTCCTTCTCCATTTTGGTTGTTAATTCTTAAAAACTGTATGACACCTTACCGTAGTCGGTTTTTTGTTCAGCAAAGCAAGCTGTTCTTTTTATCCCATATAAGTATGTCAGACCCTGTCTACAGGAGCTTCAGTACATGGTTGGATATGCTGCTACTTGGTGAACAGATCTGGTATAGTGGTTTGTGGCTATATCAGACCAAGAATACAATGATGAGCTCTGGGGATTCACTGTTGTTTGGTAAGTTAAGTGGTGGGTTTCCATTATTGGGTTCTGATATGGAGGTGGCATGCTTCTCAAGAATTCAGGACCCGAAGGTGACCACTTGGGGGATTCACTGATTCACCATGGATACCAGCTCATCTTTGCCACTTTTCTACTGCAAATTTCTTAACCTGCTCTCTCTCTCTCTCTCTCTCTAGTGCTGCATTGATTCAGAAGCTAGTTTAACCAGTGGATTGGACTTTGATTCTTGCCAACACAAGGCGTGTAGATGGATTCAATCAAATGGTTGACAATTTAATGCCACAGTTCTCCACCATGGTAGCAATGTTAGTTGCTCTGCGCATCATCATCATTTGTGACATCCTCCAGCACACCCTCACAAATGCTGATGATAAAGTTGCTGGATTCAACTAGGATTGCTTTCATTTGTGTCTTCTTTAGTTCTTTTATTGGTTCAGCAACTTGGGTCTTAACCCAAAATGAAAAGATGTGCTTCTTGTCTCCTTTTACAGTTTCTAGACCATGACCAGTAAGCATCAGTTGAATGCACAAGGCTGCAACGATGCCATTCACTGTATGGCATCCAAGGATTGCATAGAACAAACAAAGTTGAAGTTCCTAAGCCCTAGAACAACGACTCAAGAACCACACAAGGGAAAAATTACATAAAGATGTTTAAAGGGAAGTAATTAACCAATCAGTCTTCCCAGTTGGTAAATGCTGCTACATCAGTAAAAGAAAAAGAGCAAACCTTCCCATGAGACAATTAGAAATGTAGTCTCAGATACAGAGCTTATCTGACAAGAACTTGACGAACAGTGTTCTTAAGATTGGAGGCACACCAATAATTGTAGCTACGGGTGTCAATTGACCGGATTTGATCCAATCTGATCCAGTCCAATATGAATACATCACAAATGGACCATCAACGGATTTGGATCGGTGAACTTCAATGTCTGGACCGTCCAATCTGTTCAAATCGGTTTTAATTTAGATCAATTACAATCCAAACCTGATCCATTGACACATGTATTTTTCATGGAAAAGATGTTGGTTCAATCTGCCCAATCCAATATAAACCTATTATGGATGGACCGGGTCCAATCCAATCCACAATAAATACTTTGGACCATTATGTCTGGACTCTGGACTGCTCCAATTCAATATGTCTTATTGGTTCATCCAATCCATTCAAATTAATATTGATTTGGACGGATCTAACTCAAAACCCACCCCTAAATTGTAGCTGAATAGTAGGTGACTCGTGAGTCATAGCCATCTAAAACTAACAAAGTGACTGTGAGAAATAGAAATTCTGGGTAGAGAGAGATTGGGAAGCATTATGTGAGACTCCATTTTAGCAGTAAACCCAAAGTACCAAAGGAAATGGACTATTTTGGTGTTTTGTTAGACAAGGTATCGCTTATTGGGTACCTAGCAGCTAGGGAAGTATAGTCGCCATCTTTTACTAGTCACAAGGAAAGGTGGTACTGGTACTGGAAAACACCTAGGCAAAGAGGATCCAGCAAGATCTTTTAGGTCGTCCCTTTGTGTGAAACAATTGATAATTAAGGCAGACCACGCACAAAATTTGGTGGCAAGCATCTGCATTTCCCAAAGTCTTGCAATGCCTTAACGAGTGGTCGGGTTTTATTACACAGTCCTTGATTTATAATTAGGGCCTTTTCGTTTTTTCTTAAGAGAAAATTGGTTGTTCATTTTCTATTATCTCTTATCTCTTAAAGTGCAATCATACAATTTTTTATTTTCCAATGATACCCTTAGGAAGACAAATAAAAACTCTCTTACATGGGGTCAAAATGGATATTTGATAATTTTCAGAATTCAGAACAACATTTCCTACATTCAGAATTCAAAGTAAATTGCCTTGGTGGGGATGGAACATGGCAGAAATTAATAGTGATGTTGGTGGGAGATAGAGGCCAGGATGGGGAGTGAATTCCATGCCTTGCTCTGATCCTGATTAATATATATTATTTATATTATATATATTAAATTATTATTTATATTTTAAGATTTTCCTTTATTTAAAATAAATTTATTCTTCAAAAAAAAATAGTTAAATAATTTCGAGGCTTTAGATCCCCAACAGGGAACTCGTCTCCATTGATATGAGGGATGGAGACGGTAAGTATATAATATTTGTTTCAAAGTGGGATAAATGTGATCCTGTCTCTATTAATATTAGGAATTTGTTTCAAAGTCAAGGTCAGAGACGGTAAGTATATTGATGAGGAGTATTTTGGTCAACCCACTTCGTGATGGACACGTGGGCGCTATTAGTGACATAGTATCCCACTTAGCAAGACAACTCGCCGGCTCAACATGTAGTAGTCAATATCAAATACGAAGCCAAGATAGAGTGATCTCGACCTACAACGTTCTCCTCAGCAAACTAGCTTGCCTGCTTGACACATGGCAGCCAACACCAGGTATGCAGCCGAGCTGGAATAAGCTCGGCCCACAACGTCCAATACCATAGAGTAGCTCGCCGGAGTAACACATGGCAGTTGGCATCAAACACGCAGTCGAGCTAGGGCAAGCTCTATCCGCCGACATCCCCAGCTTGCCCGAAATAGTCCCGCAAATAACGCCTGCGACAACGCTGTAACCGTAGCTCAGAGAATGAACCACCGAGTTGATCGCCTCTAGGCCAGCAAGCGACCTGTAACCGCAGCTTGGATCTAGCCATTAACTAACCAATACACCTCAGGATTTAGGAAACGGCTCTGCACAAGGCTCAGAGATGTTGCCTTACAACACCTGAACCTCAAGGAGCTATAAAAGGACCCCAGGACAACTCCCAAGGAATAAGCGCACATAAGCTCTCATTCTCTCGTATTTTATCTCTCTAAGAACCACTCACTGACTTAAGCATCAGAGTGTTCTCTTGGATAAAAATTTACCCAAGCACTCTAACCTCTTTTTCTTTCAACTCCTAGCTCGGACCTCCAGCTCGGCCTCACAGCTTGGCATAACAGCCCGCCTCGCACTGCAGACTAAACTCAGTCCGAACCACCTTATCAGATACGGGGGAATGAACAGATTCTGTACCTCATTTATTGATGAACCATTTTCG